GATTTAGGGTCACTGTGGGGTTGTAGGGTTAGGGTAAGTTGAAGGTTTTGGAAATTCGTACTACTGTGTACTAAATTTGGTACAATTTGGATTGTGAGTGAACCGATAGCGTTGGAATTCTGAAACTTGGAATTAGGATCACTGTGGAGTGTAGGTTTGGGTTAAGTAGGAAGTTTTGGAAATTCGTACTACTGTGTACTAAATTTGGTACAAATTGAATTGTGGATGAACCGATAGAGTTGGAATTCTGAAACTTGGATTTAGGATAACTATGGGGGTGTGGGTTTAGTAAGAAGTATTGGAAATTCGTACTACTGTGTACTAAATTTAGTACATTTATATTTGAATTTGGAATCATTATGCGGGTGTAGGTTCGGGGTATGCAGGAAGTTTTGTTGGAAGTAGAAGGGTACGAAAAGTACTACAATGTACCAAATATGGTGCCCTTTTTATTAGCGAACGGGAAGAGCTAGAATTCTGAAATTTGGAATGTTGGTCACTGATGGAAAGTTAGAAAGATGTGCAAAAGGGTTTTTGGAAATTCGACCTATAAGTGTACTAAAGGTACTAAACTTTACTGAATTTATTTCCTATTGTATATATATTGAACATATATAGCTGGAATCTTGACATTTTAAATAGAAAACATGTTGGGAAGTGTTGTTGATGTACGGAAATGGTTTAAGACATTCGTACTTATGTGTATAAAAAGTGTAAAATAGTACTAAATTCCGTACTATTTACCTTCAGTTGAGTGTGTAGAGATGGAATCTTGATAATCGGAATTAGCTTTAAAAAATCGTACTTATTGGTATGAAAAGTACTTAATTGGTACTAAGTTTGGTGGAAGTTGGATTTAGGTGAACCGTCTTCAAATTGGGAATTAAAATAACTGTTGGAGTGTACGACTGAGGTAGATTATGAAATTCTTACTTTTTGGTACGAAAGGTATATATGGTACTAAATTTAGTACAATTTGGATGTTGCTTGAAAGGATAGAACTGAAACCCTGAAATTTGGAATTAAGATTTCTGTTGAAGATTGAGCTATAGAGACATCTTTGGAAACTCGTATTTATGTGTACGAAAAGTACTAAACGGCACTAGATGGATTTGGGTGAACGGAGAGAGCTGGAAACCAATAATTTGGACTAATGGTTGATGTTTGAATATAGAATTGAGATATGGAAGCATACCACCTACCTACTACTAAATAGTACTATATTTGGTACAACATGATTACATGTTGACCGGATAGAGCTGGACTCCCGAATTTTTTAATTAAAATTACTGTTGGAGTGTAGGATTGACATAGTTTAGGAAATGTTTAATTATAGAAACAAAAAGTACTAAATGGTACCAAAAAACTTAGAAATGTGTGAACGAATAGGGCTGTATTCTGAAATTTTGAATTAATATTACAGTTTGAGTGCAGAATTGAGATATGTCGGTAATTTTTTAAAATTCGTCATTATGGTAAATGGTAAAAAAATTTGGTACAATTTTGATTCGAGTTAACGGATAGAGATAGTAAACGTAAATTTGGAATTAAAATTACAAGATTAACAGCCTGTTTTTGTAATTTGTTCCGGCAGTCACACGCATCGTTCGTATTAAAACGTATACGTCGAAAATTTGGTTTTTGTAATAATTGTAAAAGCTTTCGTCTAGAAACGATTGAGCTTTTTCATTCGTTTTTAACCATTAGTGCCAAAGTGTTTCTTTTGGTATCTTGTTGCAAATTTTCCAATAGAATTATTGCAAAATGAGGGTAACTCTGTTTATTGTTTACAAACAGTTTTTTTTTACATACATAAGTGTCAAAATAGAAAATTCAAAATGTTTGGTACGATTGCAATTAATTTTAATTATAAAGAAAAGCAAAATATTCCCCAAAGGAGAATACCTATGGCATTTAATGATACAGCAACATTATTCCACTTGTTATCCACTTCAAATTTATTGGATCCGAAAACAGGACGGCCAGTTGCTAATTGTGGGTAAAGTTCCATGAGATCAACCAATTTTTGGAATTGGGCAATCGTTGTCCTTTTGCTGCTAGGGGTTCAAACAATTCAATATAATTTTTTACATTTCATAGGGATATATAATTTTTTACAAACCATTTCTTCTTATATATTTCATCAGAATTTTCCATATTTGTTACGTTCTTTTCACTAACAACACACAAATTGTAATGAACAAATAGTTTTCTTTATTATTATTTTTTAAACGAATGGTATTTTCTCTTCGTTTGTTTTTGACATTTTTGTTCGTAAATAACGCACCGTTTTGTATAACAAAAACCAAAAAAATACGAATACCAAAAGCTCTTTCCTATTTCTCACTCACTACAACCGGTAATTTGTTTGCGAAAACCAAAATGAGTAATCGTTCGTTTTTTCGACGAACGAATGGACATTTTACATTTACAAAAACAGGCTGTAAGGAAGTATTGGAATTTCGTACTTATGGATACGAGAATGGATTGGATTGGTACTAAATATGGTACAATTCGTTTTGTGTGAGTGGGAATCTTAATATTTGGACTTAAAAATAAGGTTGGAGTGTAGGATGAGGTAGTTTTAAAAATACGTAAATATCTGTACTAAATGGTGCTAAGTTAATACAATTTAGATTTGAGTGAAAGGATAGAGATGGATGGATTTGAAAATAAAATTACTCTTATAGCAAAGGATTGTGACAGTGTTGGAAATTCGAACTCATGAGTACGAAAAGTACTAAATATGGTACAATTTGGATCTATGTGAATTTGAATCTATCCTGAAATTAATGAATAAAATTACTGTTTCAGTGGGAAATTGAGACAGTTTTAGAAACTCATACTTACGTCTACGAAAAGTAATAAATGGAACAATTTGGATGTTGGTGAACGAATAGAGCTGGAATCTTTAAATGTGGACCTAAGGTTGTTATTGAAGTGCATGACTGAGGTATTTTTGGAAATTTGTACTTTAGGTACGACAACCAAAAAATTTGGTACAATTTGGACTTCGGTGAACGGGTAGAACTCGAATCCTGAATGTTGCAACTTAGGTTACTCTGGGAGTGTAGGAAAAGTACAGAATGGTACCAAATATGGTACAGTTTAGTGAACAGATAGAGCTGAAATTCTTAAATTTGGACTTACGATTGAAAGCAGGTTTGGAATATTGAGATTGGTTTGGCATATGGGTACGAAAAGTGCGGAATGGTTTCACACAGAGCTGAAATTCTTAAATTTGGACTATTTGAAAGAAGGATTGAGGTACATTGGGAAATTTGTACTTATGAGTACGAAAATCACTAAATTTGGAACAATTTGGACTATGGTGGAAGAAAATTCACTAAATTTGGAATATTTTGAATTTGGGTAACGGAGAGAGCTGGAAAACTAAAATTTAGAATGTTGGCCATTGACAGAGAGTTAGAAAGAAGGACCAAAGGGTTTTTGGTACTAAATTTAGTGGAGGTGACGGTATAGAGGTAGTCTTGAAAATGTATAATTATGTGTTCAAAAAGTTCTAAATGGAATTACATGTGGAACCTGTACGTTTTTGCTAAAGTGTGGATTTCGGAAAATAGTGCTTATGTATATGAAGAGTACTTAATGGTAATAAACTTGATATTAAATGTAGGAACAAAGGTGGAATTCAGAACAATAGTACAACTAATTATACGGCATTCACGATTTCCATATGAAATATTTTTTTATTCCCTTTCCGCATACGAAGTAGCGGGTACTTTGCTAGTTACTTATAAATGTTAGCAAACAGTATAATGACTTACAATTTCGCAGAGGGACATCATGGTCCCTCCTCTCCTAGCCCCGTGAAAGAATTACCTTTTAACTCATATCCCAAGTAAATATACCATTGGAACACTCTGTTTGTGTTTCCATTTCGTCCTGTAACTCTGTTAAATTTGATACATCCACTGTAAAAAAGAATGATGAATATGACCGCAAAGTCGTTATTTTCCAAATTTACTCTGTATGGGATCCAAAATCGCATTGGTTTGTACATTTGAATATTTTCATTCTAAAAAAACACTGTGATTTTTATTTTTAGACATATTATTATACTCACTACTTGATCTTCTTATGTGGAGGAACTGGAACTGCATTCGGCATCATGAAATGGTATTCACAAATTCTGTCTTTCGATGTAAATGTAACACCATAAGCTGCGGACCATTTCATCTTTCGTTTATTTTGTTCACACACATATTTCTCATATAACACGCAGGTTCTCATTTTTATATTTCAACTTTCTAATGTTTTTTAAAAGATTTCGACTTTTTGTTGCAACATAGATTTTTTTAAATTAACGTGTTTGACAAACACATAAAAAACTCACCAATCAAAAAAATTCAACTCTGACGGTTTGACAGAATAGGCCTTGGTATGAAAAAATTTAAACAGATGTGAACTTTGGCCTACCTTGTAATTATTGTACCGTGATCAGTATGGTATATTTTAATCGGAATTCTCCTTATGGATGACCGTACTTAATTGAGAAAATAAAATTGACAAATTTAAATTAGGACTAACTTACCGTATATTTTCGTTAATACATGACTAATACCGTATATTTCGTAAATTATAAGCAAATGAAAATTTTCCGTTATCGTCGGTAATTCTGTCATAAAACAGTTACAGGATAGCACAACTGGTTGACTACTGTGTTGATATTTAAGGATTTTCTATTCCCGGATCTTAAAATTTACATTTTTAATTTTTATTTAATAGCTATTTGTTCTACTGCAATTTTTTAATATTAATATTAATGCAATTTTAAAGCAAACTTTCAAATGTCACAAACGTTACTTTATTGAATGATTGCAATTCACTGATGTTTGATAACAGTTAACAGCTAAACAACAGCTGATATCGTTTTTGTTCTATGCTGGCCATTTATAGTTTTATTTGTTATGTGAGTGATCGAAAACAACACGGAAACTATTTTGGGTGCTATACAAAAACACAAATTAATAAAATAAAATGCGTTTCACACAAATTTTACGTATACGAATCAAGTGTCCCGAATTAACGGCCGCTAAACAACAATATGTGCCCAAACATCAACCAGCCGTCGAAAAAGACATAAAAAATCTGGAAGATTTTCTAATGGACAAACCGAAGATAGTGGTGTTAACGGGTGCGGGTATATCAACGGAATCAGGTGAGAAGTGATAAATTTATCATGAGTAGAGTTATTTCTTACTAGGGAATGGGAAATAATAGTGTTTCTCTAATTAGATAAGGAAATTATAGGAAAAAAATATATGTTTCTAATGGAAGGTAATTACAATGTTTTTCTCTAGTTGCGGATGTCAATGTTAAGGCCATTAGACAATGTTGCCATATTGAGAAGAAATAATATGAGTTAGAGCGATGCCATGTTTTAGCGATGAATTAATCGATAACATTGTTTGGTTTTTGCCTAAACTAAATGATAAATATTTTATGGTTACTTTACAAAGCCAGTACTTTGAAAATGCTAACCTAATTCTCTGTTTCAGAATCTGCAGGAATCTAAAATTTATTTCCATACGGGAGCACCCACTATATTATCTTTTGTATACCCTGCGAACCTCCAAATATCCATAAGTAATACCATATAGTATATATAGAATAATATTCTATATCAATTTATCCATGTCCGTCAGTTGAAACCACGATCGAGCACACAATATTTAAGATAACGATACCCCCAATGTTGGGTATTTGGGTACGTTTTTCAACCAAAGTGCCAGTAACTTAGTATTTTGGATTATATTTGATTATAAAGCTTTTTTATCAGAAAAGATTAATATTGATTTACTTTTTAGGGTAGCGCCCTAATAATGGAACCTCACAGATTTCGGTATTTTGGGAAGTTTGGGCACGTTTTTTAACCAAATCGTCTGTAATTTACTATTTGGATCCTTGTGGGTTAGAATATCTCCAGATAAATAATGATCAATTTTGACTCAAGATTCGGAATTTTGATCCCTGCTCCAGCCTTTAATCGGAAATTAAAAACTCTTATATAATATATTTCTAAAATTAAAGGTAATACATATTTTATTTATTTTATTTCTATTTTCACAGGCATCCCAGATTACCGTTCCGAAGGTGTTGGTTTATATGCCCGCAGCAATCACAAGCCCATACAACATATGGAATTTGTACGTTCGCCCAGTGTACGACAACGTTATTGGGCTAGAAATTTTGTGGGCTGGCCTAAATTTTCCTCAACCGAACCGAATAGCACCCATTACTCTCTGGCACGATTCGAACGTGAAGGCCGCATACAATGTGTGGTCACACAAAATGTTGATCGTCTGCATACCAAGGCGGGTAGCAAAAATGTAACAGAACTTCATGGTTCCGGTTATGTGGTTAAATGTCTCTCGTGTGACTATAAAATCGATCGTCATGACTTTCAGCTAATCCTCAACGATCTAAATCCAGAATTTAAAGATGCTCCCGATATGATACGCCCCGATGGTGATGTTGAAATTCCACAAGAGTACATTGACAATTTCCGTATACCAAATTGTCCGCAATGCGATGATAATCGTTTGAAACCGGAAATTGTATTTTTCGGTGATAATGTACCGAAAACTCGGGTCAATAGTATAGCTGAAATGATTTATGCTGGAGATGGTCTTCTGGTGTTGGGTTCCAGTTTGCTGGTATTCTCCGGATATCGTATGGTATTGCAGGCAAAAGATTTAAAATTACCTGTGGCTATTGTAAATATTGGCGAGACAAGGGCTGATCATTTAGCCGATTTGAAGTTGTCGGCCAAGTGTGGTGATGTTATACCCAAGTTATTTAATTTTAAGAACAAATGATGATGTTTTTTTCGAATGTAGTATAGATTTATTTCAATGTTTTTGTAAAAAAGAAAATTAGAAGAAATTGTTAATAACTTAATTTTATAACAAAGAAATGGGCAGTCGAAGCGTTTGCATAAAGAATTGTAATATATATGTAAATTTGTATTGAAAACTGACAACATGAAATTTGTTTTGGTTATATAGTGGATAATAATTTGATTTATAGTCTACAAGATACTTTTATTAAACGAAATTGTTTTTGATTTTCCTCATCGATTTGAATAGAGAGTGAAAACCTAATACCTTTAGTTTACCATGACTTTTTTAATGTTTTATTGCTACCAACATAGAAAACATTTAAAATAGACCCTTCGAATGAGGAAAAATTCTAAATTATTTTTAAGTTAAGACAGTTAAATATTAAAATATTCTCTCCATTTTCTTCCAAAAAAACTTTAAAATCATAAATTGCATTGCCTTATATCCATCATATGTACACACCAAATGGAGGTCAAGTTCTTGACTGCTCGCAAACGTTCATGAACACCAGACAAATAAAAATGTATTTGGTTATTATAATTTGGTGTCAAATTCCTTACGTTCCATGCGCTAAGAAAAATATACGCACGTTCATTAGGGGAGCGTAACGGTACTCTTCATGTTCCTGACTGCCACTTGTTTTTCTTTTTTATTCGCAGTAGATGTTTGTCAACGTATCAACGATTTTAAAGGACAAAACCAACAATTTAACACGTACCGAAAATCAAAACATTTATAATAAAGAAGACAAATGCTTTAAGAAAAGGGCGACGGAAGAGGGTGTGAAATGATAACCTAGAACAAAGAGTTTGAAAATAAATGTGTAGATGCTATATCGTCGTCAAGTCATTGTGTTTGCTGTGTTAGGACATTTTATAAACATGAGTATGTGTGTATGTCTTAATCGTTGACGCCGATAGCTTGACTGGAGTTCAATGTAAGCTCTAACATATACTATGATAGGAATGGTAATCATCGTACATTGTTTAGGTCTTCTGCTACTGCGACTCATTTCAGATATTTTATATTTCATGGGTTTGGATGCTTGGTAGTAGTATGTATGTACAATGTTCGGTGTACGTATTCGAAATTGATAGTCAGTTATACGCCTTAAATAACAGTGGTTGGAATAATTTCAAATAATTAAAAAAAATGAAAAGAAGGAAAATTAAATTAAACTGAGGAATCTTATAGAAACCCTGAAAGACAATGCATTGTAATCAGAACTCTTCTGGGAATATCTCCCTTCGCATATCTTTAAATAAATTCGATTCCAACTAGGAGCTCGTAGTGTTTCATAAAAACTCAGTGGGAGCAGGACGGATTCTTTCCAACTTCAGCTTAAGGTTTGCGGAGGTCATCGGAATTACACACAGGTTTCATTTTTGGCTTTATATGTGGTATATGTTTTTATTAAAGAAGTTTCGGATTTAATGTTGATCAAATCGATTATTCAACTCACTTCAAATTTAATTCACACGGTTTTAAAATATTGTCCCTTTGTGGGGGAGGTACCAGAAGGATTGAACCTATGGGTCCCATCTTCGAACTCGATCTAGGCTTTGTAAAGTAACTAAGTTGAGCAAAGTTTGGCCCAAATCGGACATTCCTTTCGCGGGACATTGGATTTATAAATATTGAAAATGTTGACCCCTTGTGTGGGAGGTACCAGAAGGAGAGGACCGATGGGTCCCACCTTCGAACTGGATCTAGTATTGGTAAAGATAATATGTTGTACAAAGTTTTGTTCAAATACCACATTCCATTCCCCTGATATTGGATTTATGGATTGGATTTAGGTAGCAGAAGGATTGGACCAATGGGTCCCTTCGGACTTGATCTAGGCTTGGTAAAGATAATAGATTGTGGAAAGTTTGGTTCAAATCGGATACTCCGTTCGTATGATATTATAACATATTTTTTTGCACAATTTTGACCAGAAAGAGAGGATCTTCGGACTTGGTCTAGGCTTAGTAAAGATAATAGGTTCTGGAAATTTTGGTTCAAATTTTGATATTCCATTCGCCTGATATTGGATTTGTAAATATTGAAATTTTTTACAGTTTGTAGGGGAGGTACCAGAAGGAATAGATCAACGGGTCCCATCTTCGTACTTGCTCTTGGCTTGGTAAAGATAATGGATTGTGTTTGGTTCAAATCAGGATATTCCGTTTGCATGATACTATAAAATTGTTTTTTTGCACAATTTTGACCATTTTGTGGGGGAGGTATCAGAAGGTGTAGACCGATATTCCCCATCTTTGAACTTGAACTGAGTTTGGAAGAAACATTACGGCAAAGTTTGGATGAAATCGTTTACTCCCTTCGAGAGTTATTATGCACACCAGCCTGTCAGACAGACAGACGGACGGGCATTTGTAAATCGACTCAAATTGTCTGTAACGGATTTGTTGCAATGTGGGGTCTAAAGCCAATATTTCGATGAGGCACATATTTACCTATCAAAGTGTATATACCCTCGTTAGCCATTAGGCTAATGGTATACAAATATCACCTAGGGGTAAATTTCAACCAAGTTTAGATGTTTGGGTTCTCCGAGAATAGTTTGCTTGAATATTGTTCCTTGTTTTGATGAAAACCCTATATAATGTTCAATATAAATTTATAGGAACCTTGAAGGAATTGTGGGGTGTTATATCATTTTTGTCGACAATTATGGGGACATGTCTCCATATTTTAAACAATTTGTCTGGAATCATTTAATAAGAAGAAGAAGAATTGGTTATGTTAACAGCCAGCTGAGCATGGTTATGCTTATTTTTATTTTTCTTTTATTACAAATCAAAGTGTAAGGGATTTGGTCCAAAGAAACATGGGGTCTAAAGAAAATATTTCGATGAGACACCATTTTGCAGTATCAAAGTGTATATACCCTCATTAAACATTATGCTAAGGGTATTGCAAATACCAACTAGGGGTAAATTTCAACCGGGTTTAGGTGTTCGGGTTCTCCGTGAATAGATTGCTTGAATATAGGTCCTTGTTTTGATATAACTCCTATATAATATTCAATATAGGTCCATAGGTATGTCTCCATATTTTCAACAAATTGTCTAGGAATCATTTAATAATAATAAGAAGAAGCATTGATTATGTTAACAGCCAGCTGAGCATGATTATGCTTCTTCTTATTTATCTTTTATTACAAATCACCTTTCCCGCCTAAAGCACCAGGTCTAGGTTTCTAACTCCCAAATGTCCAAATATAACACACCTCTAGGTAAGGTAATAACATTGTGACCAGGATTCCATAACACATCTAGGTAAGATCAGAATATTTTAAGCAGCCTTCTCCACCAACCAACCACCTGAGAAAGTCCTCGCATTTTGAGAACTTCAGACTGATTTTTAAGAAGTATTTCTCCAATGAAGAAACAATCTATTGAAACCACTGTCTTTCAAACACACACCCATACATACGAAAATATTCTTGTGTGTGTATTTTTATTGACAACTCTGTAGAAGTTTATGGCAACAACAATAACAACGCCGAAGACGACAACAGCCAACAGATGAAATCCTTTGTGAAAGCAACAGTTGGCCTTAACAGGTCAAATAAAAAAATCAATTGAAAAGGGAAATGACTTTCTTATTTGATTGTGGAAATGGATAAATAACAGAAGCGTGGTAGACGAAGGAGGGAATAAAGACGAGAAGAAAATATATAAAAACAATCACAAAAGAAAATGAAGGTTAAATGGACAGTTTATTAAAATCGAGAGAAATACAAATTGAATATTTATTACTTTTCCGATAGAATTTAATAAATAATAAATAAAATTTAATAAAATTCTGTAGAAATTCGAAATTAAATTTTTAAAAAGATATATAGAATTATGAATGTTGATATTGCCTCATCTGATATAGGTCTCATTATATAGACCAGTAACACCAAGACTGTGACAGTTAATGTGTCGTCTATCGAAGATCTTCGAAAACATTTGTGGTTGGTCGAAGTCAGATATCGTTAAAAAAATACATAATATTCCAACGTTAGTCTCTTGACCCATATATCGGAGGGTTTTGTTGTTCTTAATCGAATATATAATTTTTAATATATACATATATGGATCTGAGTGAAATTAAAGTTTGTCAAATTAAAAACTAGTCAAAGATTTTTAGTTTTTAAAATTTTGAAATATATTCTGTTTTTTTTTTTTTTAATTTTTAAGATCTTTTTTAACCTTACATTCACATTTTTTTACCAACCAACCCTTTAAATTACTTCTATGACAAAAAAATCCATATTTATTTTCAGTATTAACTTGGAACACTAATATTCCCCCTCACTTAATACCACTTTAACTTAATTTGATTTTTTCGCATGCCCTTTCGTATCCCTTTCCCCTTGCCACAGAAAGTTTTGTTTGAATATTTCACAATAGTAATGTTCGTAGTACTACAAAACCAATACAAAGAACAAGACAATTACCAACAACAAATACACATAATGAAAAAGGAGAACTCTTGAAGATATCACAAACATGCACACAAACACACACATACAGCTGATGATGCCCGCACAATACAAATACTCGTATGCCATCCATAAACGCCACAGCAGTGACATTCAGTCATCATCAATTTATCCTCTTAGGAATTTTCTTACTCACAAATCTAACCCAGTTATAGATAACCGCATAAATTTCCTTCGGGCAAATAGTAATGGGGCATGCCCACAAAAGCTATAAAAACAAAATTCGGTGGTTGCCAGATATTATATTGGGGATTGGGGGAATTACAAAATAACATTTTTAAGAGGGAAAACACATATGAAGAATCAGGCCTACCCTGTTATGTTGGTTTTCTATGAAATGTCAATTTATAAAGGAATATCAGAGTTGTTTTTGTTCTCCCATATTTTTTTTACAATTAAATAAGCCAATTTAGCATGGCAAGCCTGAGGTCCTTTTATGTTTTCCCCTTTATTGCCTGGTAATATTTTGGATTTTATTGGA